TCTCTCTCTCCTCTCACTCTGTCCTGTTCACTCTTGCATCCCAGCATCCCTAAATCCATAACTACTTACCCCTTCCCTTCCTCTTCCTCCCAAATGAGGGTCCAGATATTGACATTTAATTCAGGTTTTCGAACAAAGCTGCTGAAACGATGCCTAAAGGAGTTGGAAAACCGAAGCCTTAGGAGGAGGAATTTTCCCATGGAGAGCTTGGCAATGACCTAACCTGATACCTAAAGCCTTTCCTTTTACTTGGCAGGGGAGAGTCAAAGCAAGCTTGAATTGTGCGTTTCAATTTCCCCTGCAGGGATGTGTGATTGACAGGTATTGATCTAATTGGGATTTTAGGGATATGACTTCTCCTCTGCTTTTCCGACTTGTACATCGGCATCTCTCCCTGGTCGCTGTTGGCATATTGCTTCCGCAAGTACTGCAGAGTAATTGGTGCTGTGGGTTCCGAAGGATCTGAGGTGGTTCACTAGCATCAAAGAGAAATGTTTGGGGGAGTAGAGGCGGGGGCTGGAAAGATGAGGGAGACAAGTGGGTGTGAAGGGTCGGATGTGAGCCCACAGTTGGCTCTTAAAAGCTTTATATCTAAAAAAGAAAAGATGGGTTTTGATTTCTTTTTTCCTCGAGGCTTTCTATTAGAGATCTTGGTTCTTTAGCTTCTAGCATGCATTGGGGGACTCGCTTGCTTTGCCATAGATCAACTTATTTTGTGTTTAGTGGAAACTGCCAGAAACCCGTCAAATGTTAACAAAACAATGAACCAGTAATGATATCTTCTATGTGAAGTTTACAATCAGGTTAAAGTCTATGGGCTCTCTCTATGTCAGGGGAGCTGATGCCTCTCTCTTACTTGCTTCTCATCTCCAGCATTAGTGAGCACTCAAACTTACTTTACACCACAGGTCTTAGCTGCCTGCTCTGTGGACACTGGACACTGGGCTGAGTTTCAAGTAGCCTTTGCATGAATTCAGACCTTAACCTTGTATTCTGGGAGTTTCAGCTGCTGGACTACTGAAAGACAGTTCAATGACAATTGGACCAACTGCACCATTATTTTATTGAAGAAAAAATTCTGAAGGTCCTACTAGTTGTAAACAAATACCATTTTGTCTATACACTGACTGAAAACAATTATGTCAGTATATTCCTGGTTCACAGGAAACTCAACGTAAGATTTAAGTTGAGATATAAGCACATACAGGGACTTTGACTCCCAAAAATATCAATGCTGAGAGACCCAGCCTTTTCTGTCCTGTTGGGAGGGGACCGTAGAAAGGAAAAAGCTAAGGAAACCCTAAGTCTCTTTTCTTGTGCTGGTTTCTCCCTCCAGCCTTTCTAAAGGTGTCCCAGAGATACTGCTATCACAGCCCCCACCTTTGGGAGCCCCAGATTTAATGTTGCCCTCTGGCTAGTATAATCATACTAGGAAGGTCTTTAACATACATATGTATATATACACATATATGATATATATATGCATATATCCATGACCCTGATTCAATTTGTATATTCTAAGTATATATGACATTTAGACCTTTTCTATTTCTTAAGATTTTAAAAAGTTATTTTATCTATATGTGTATACATTTGTACCGCATACATTCAGTGCCCACAGGGGCCAGAAAAGTATGTCAGATCACCTAGAACTGGAGTTATCAATGGCTGTAAGCAGCCTGATGTGAGAACTGAACCCTATCTTTTATAAGATCAGCAAGTGTTCTTATCCACTGAGCCTTCTCTCCAGGAGCAACTCTTAGACTGAAGAGTTGGATGGTTTTTATAGAAATAAAATACTACAGACATAATTTATAACTTTTCAAGTTTTTGTCTCTAAGCATTTATACCAATTCATGACTATAAAATTGATTTTAATGTATTATCCCCATTCATAATGCTTTTATGATTTCACCAACATGTATGTTCTTAAGCAATATATTGTATTATTTTGATTATCTTTCATCAATTTAGAAATAATGGGGCTAGGAATACAGCCCACTTGGTGAAGTGCCTATCTAGTATGCAGGAGCCTTAGGTTCAGTCCCCAGTACTACAAAACTGTATGTGGTTATTGGGCCTGATGAAATACCCATAATGCAACCACTATGGAGATGGAGACAAGATATCAGTAGTTCAAGATTATCCTAGGCTATATAAGTCATTTCAGGCCAGGAAGGCTACTTGAGAACCCACTGCTCTGATTCATCTATTGCTAATCTATCTATCTATCTATCTATCTATCTATCTATCTATCTATCTATCTATCTATCTATCTATCTATCTATAAATCTATCTACCTAATATGTATAGAAATGATGCCAAAGTATTTCATTTTCTGTGTTTTAATCTATTCAATGTTATTGATGAAATTTAGTGTTTTGATACATGAATCCTTACTTGTTTCATCTTATCCACTATATTCTTTTTCGTGATATGAATATGCTAATGTTTTCTCATTAGTGGTCCTTATGGCCTCAGTTATTTCCCATTTTCTCCTCCAATTTAAACTCTAAAATCCTTTAACACCTTGTAATCTTTTCACTTTTAGTAGTGAAAATTGCATCATTAGGAAATGTTCTCCTTTATTGTTTTAAAGTGTCTCTCTCCAGTGTTATGTAATGTGATGGCATCAAATCATGTTTTCTCCTCTGCTAAAAGTGTGTGAGATTCTCCAGAGGGAAGCATCCTGGCCTTTTAGAAGAGAAAAATTATAGCTGAGAATCAAGGCCAATGTTCTTTAATAGCCTCACGGCCTCTATTTATTTCTAAAATACAGTTTAACTAAGTAAAATATTTAAACGAGAGATTTAACAGTTCTGCCTTTTCTAGCAGAATCGCTCAAGATGAAGCATCAATGCCAGAGAAATGTGCTGGCTGTATATGTTCAGACAACTGAGCACCATATCACCATGGAGTACACAACTGTGATTTGTCTTCAAGTTGTGGATAAATACCGTCACTCCCTTTTTTTAGATGCTCGCATGCAGACATAGCATATAGTATATAAATTACCCCTAATTTACAACCCTATTTACAGTTGTAGCTTTTATTTTTTGTCTCAGACACACCTGTTCTTGCAGCAACTTTGAGCTTTAACTAGCAGACGCTTGTCTAAGATTTGCCAATGTTTCAGCAAGCTTATTGTGCCTGTGACGGTGGTGAGGGGCAAACAGCTGTTCCTTACAGACAGTAGTGTAAACAATGCCATCTTCTGAGGGTATTTTGACTGCAAGGAGTTTTTAGTCATAGTAGAATATTAATCACTATTAACACTGTTTTCAGCCACATTGCTATTTACCTATTGAACATTTTCCTTTCATAGTGCTTTTAATTCTATCGATGCAGCTGCCACATGATAGAGAGAGGCTAAATAATCGTGTATTTCTTCCCATGTTGCAGCACATAGAATAATTTATACCTGCAGAGCATCTGAGGTTGGAGAGGTGTACAGTTTTTGTGCAGTCAGTGGGTACTCAGTATTAATACAAAATGAGGAAAAGTGGACAATGAAGCCTTGGGATGTCTATATTTTAAAGTCATCTGTTTGGACACCTTCCCAAATCAAAACCTTATTCAAATTAAAAAGAAAAAATGGGGTTTTTATCAGCTGGTAAATTCCATGTAAGCTTGAGGACCTGAGTTCACTTCTCTGGCATTTAAATAAAAATCCTGGTATTATCTGGTACATCTGTAACCTTAGTCATAGCACAAGGAGTGGAGAGAGGCAGATCTCCAGCACTAGTTGGCTAGCCAGTCTAACCAATCTGTGAGCTCTGAGTTCAAATGGAAGACAGTCTCAAAACTAGAAGGTTGATAGTGATATCCACATGAATTTTGACACATGAACACATATACCTACAAGCACATGTACACACCCTCACATTATACATAAATACACATATGTACTACACATTCATACAGGAAAAAAGAGATAAAAGTAATGAAGTAAATTCTATTGTATTTCACTCTTCTTTCATTTTCTCCTGAACACTTCTATTTCTTCCATAATAGGACAAAGGAAAGTAATCACATGGTGTCTTTGCTGTTGAAAAATCAGTGAGTGGTCCATCTACTGATTTCACAATACTCTTGAGAGGCGTATCTCAAAGATATATTTGGTCACCTTCATTTTATTAATGAGATTCTAATAGGAGACATAGTGAAATATTAAATAGTACAAAAATTAAGGGCTTCTAGTCATAGGCCACTGGCCAATGAGTCCCCCACCCAGTTGTTTTCCTTTACCTTTGGAGTCCTGTAGGATATAATTGCTGTAATGTGGAGGCTGGAGTATACAGGAACAGAGCTTACATATAATCACACTGTCCACTCTGTTTTCAAAATCATTGTTTTTGGATGGTTTTTACTTCATATTTCATGGTTTGTTTTATTGACTGAAGGATGATTACTATCACGTTTTCAGTTTCGTTTTTTTTTTTTTTTTGCTTTGTTTTTGTAAAATATCAGTGCAGCATGAGGTCATTGTTTTTCTTTACATTTTATTCTTTGTAACTTAATTTTCTTGTATACATTTGGGTTTCCTTCCTTATAGTAAATGGTTGGTAATAGAGCAAAGTACGTAGAAACTTGCTACCCTTGACCCTTGCAGGCCTAAAACTGACTAAGAAAATAGGATGGGAAACACACGTAAGATAACAGCAGCTATTAGCATCAGACTCTGTGCCAAGTGTCTCCCATTATCAACACTGCTGGAGGTTTTAAGGTGACAAAGATCACTTCCTGTGAGAAGAGAAATTCGCAGTTGGCATAATGAATCAATTCTTTGTCTCTTTGTGGTAAAGTGTTGTTCAGGTCAGGCCAAGTCAGGTATATTTTTCTTAACAGGATAGTCAAGTCTTAGGATAATGAAGGCAGAATTCTACTTTTTCGGATGAGTGGACATCCATATGAATGTCCTGACACTTGGTCCA